CCTGGGTCTATTGGTCTAAAGTGCCAAATGGAGCAGAAGGTTTGCCTCCAGCCAGGCCTGGCTTCATGTCCCAACTCTAAGTGTCCTAAGGAATGAAGCCTTGGAAATGGAACTTAAAATAACAGGCTTACTGTTTTCATATCTAAACTGAGGGCAATAATATATATCCCACAGAGTCATTTTGTGAGCTATTATGATAAAACAATGACCAGGAGCCCGTTAGTGTAGGGCTAAGGTGTTGCAGATGTCCAACCAATGATGTCTATTATTGCTTTATTATTCCATCAGCATTTTTAAAACCTTGCTCAGAACTCTACCCATTTATTATCCTTCCCTTCCCTTCACCTGTGGTCATCTCTCCTTTCTCTGGGCCCCCTCTCCCATTTCATTCACCTCGCACCACTAGGGAAGCGGCACCCCAGGCCCTAACCTGGTCTCTGCCACCTACAAAGGTGCGGCTCATCCTAATAGCTTGAAATCGGTCACCCTGGGCTCATCTCCCCCTGCTTGGAACAGAAAGCCATCCTGGGCCGCCTTGCATGACGTCGATTCTTCTGTTTCCAAGTTAAGTCTTCATGCTAAAGACCTGCGGCAGGGCTACGAGGCTTTGGGCTGCTCTTCCTCTCGCTGTCTGGTGCAGCTGGCCAGTAGCTCAGCTCCAGAGCAGCTGGCTCAAGTCCTGGGGTGCGAGGGAAGCCCTGTAATCCCACAGAGCTTGGTCTGCACCAGGGTCAGCTGCATTCATTGGTATTGGTGGCAGGATAACCAGGCCCCAGGAGGCTTCTCCTGCTGGCCATGGTCAAGTCGGACGTGCAGTGGGACTCTGTCCTGAAAATAGATAGTGATAGCCCTGGAGGCCAAGGATGACAATAGCTACCTCCTGTCAGTGCTGAATCTGGACAATGCACAACTAGGAGAGAGAAGATGGCACTGCCTGGGCCTATATGTGGATTCTTACTCCCAATCCACCCAGGCCTTGAGCATTTTCACTGACTCTTGGTCTCTTGGGTGTTCCCCTGGGAAGAGAAGCAGAAAAGCCCTATCCCCGGTCTCTCGGCATCCCGGCCTCTCCCAGAGGCCCATGCCCTGGTCTCATTACTTGTGGTGGAATAAGGCTATGGAGGGCCAGCTCTCAGCCTGGTGCAGACCCTGTGGTCTCTTTTCCCAGAAGGTACCTATCTAAATATTTGGAAGATGACCTGTGGTGCTCAATCCAGGGCCACCAGCCACTTGAGACCATTGAGCACTGAAGTCATACCTAGTGCAGTAGCCCACACTGAGATGGATTGTTAGGTCTGAAGCCACATTTTGAAGACTGTGTAGATAAATGAAATAACTCATTCATAACTTTTATATTCATTGAATGTTGAGATGATTATATTTTGGTCATCTTGAAATCTTTGGCACAATATTTTACTTGTGCAATCTTCAGGGGAGATGGTCAGATCCTTACATTATCAGTCTCTAACAGTGCTGTTAAATAGAAATAAATGTGAATCACTAATGCAAGCCACAAATTTAAAACTTTCTAGTTGCTACATTTAAAAGGTAAACAGAAAAAGGTAAAATTGGTGTTAATACTGCTGTTAGTTAATCCAAGATGATCAAAATATAATCACTGCCTCACTGTGGGCTATGGGTAGATCCCAGCTTATCTGGACCTCCGTTATCTTATCTGAAAAACGGGTAGAGATAACCAAATGGCTGCTAATTTATATGATAATGATTCTGTATTAAAGCAAAGTCACACAAATGAGATATGTCTTCTACCCTTGTATAAACAGTCACCTTCTCTAATAGAAAAATAAATAGAAAAAGAAATCACCTATATTACTGATCCCACAGTATCAAACAGAAAACCACTCTGCTGTTTTCTGTGTGCAGAAGAAAAACAAAAAAGCTTTGAAGTTTAATCTGAATTTAAACATCTTTTTAATTGAAGATCCAAATTTTATGTATGACTTAAGAACAACAATAGAAGTTACAAAAGGAATGTCAAGTCCAAATGATTCCGTCAGTCTCTCAGACTCCTTCACTGTTGGTCGATCTCCCTCGACTTCTGCTCTTGTGCTAGAGATTTTGAATTTAGGTACTCCTTGCTTCGAAGAAAGCCCAACATCCTCACCCCTTACTGCAGGTGCTAGGTCAAGGCTGAGACCCCTCAGCCTGCCTGAGAAGGAGAGGGGAAGTGGAAGGGCTGAAAATTACCTTTCTTCTGCTTTGGGGCTATTCCTTCATTCCACCTTCCCCACTGTGCTGATAAAACTGAATGGGCTGCCTAGGAGAGGCCCTTTCTGCTTCCCGCCCCCCTCTGGGGCCTGACTCCAGAGAAGTGCGAATAGCATTAGCCAATTCTGTGAACTACTGATTATCAGGCTGTGGCCACCAGGAGGAATAAGCTCTTGACTCCCCTCCTTACAGAGCAATGTCTTTCACCTTCCCCAAGAGGAGACTTTTCCAGCACAGTGACCCTTCACCACCACAAACCTCTGTCTTCACTCCTGCTCTGTTCTTTCCTTACAAGCTCCATGACTGTGGGGTAGGTCTCAACTCTCCCAGCCACCAGTTTCCTCATCTCCAGCATAGAGAAAACAGCAGGGCAGAGATTTGTCTCTCTCTGAATTATACTACTTAATATCAGTTTTAACCTCTGGGGTGAATGACTAGCTCTTCCTTAGCTCTTTCCTGCATGAAAATACCTCTGGAAAATATTAATTGTGAGAAGAGAGCCTATCTTTCTTGAGTGATCAACCTTCAGGATGGTCATCGGCTGCCTCTTCAACTTTATTTCTAAGAAAGGCCTCCAAGTTCTTTGGCTCACATTGCCACTCCCAGCTAGTCTGTCTCTAAACAAGGTTTTAAGCAAATGAGAGCATCCCCACACCTGGCTGCTGGTGCCCCCGGCATGTTCCAGAAGACAGCAGCTCAGTAACCGACAACATTTTTCAGGACTCAGGCTGTGTCAGACACTGTTCTACACACTCTTCATGAGGTAACTTATTTATTCTTCACAAAGGCCTCGTAAGGCAGGTCTTGAATTTATTCCCTTTGGATAGATGAGAAAATATAAGCAGAAAGAGGTTTTCAAATATCTTCTGAGCACTTTATTCTCGGAAGCAGGGTAAAATCAATCTCAGATCTGTCACCGACAAGCTGCTAAACCTTGAACCATTTCCTTATCTGTGTCCAGTAGGGCACGATGGGGCTTGTACCAAAATTAGATGTAATTACGGCTACAAAATGCTTGGCACATGGAATGCATTCAGTACGTGTCCATTACTTGGTGACTCTTTTTAAAAATTATATTTTAAATAGTGATGTCTTATTGATATAGGAAGAATAATAAATACCACAATGGCCATTCATCCACTTGTTCCTTCACTCTTTCATCTACCCGAAAAACACCTGGGAATAGAGAGAAAAGAACGCCTGATCTCAGTCCCCTGGGAGCGCACCCGGGCAGCAGACCCAGGGCAAGCAGGCGGTGCTAAGAGAGAGGGAGACACTAGGGGGCGCTCCGAGAGAGGCCATTGGCGCCACCGCCATCCCGGCCTCCTGCGGGAGGGGCGCTTCCTGGGAGAGACCGTGCCTGAGTGAAGCCCAAAATGCTGAGCAGGAGTTAGCTAGAAAAGTGGGATATACAGCAGTCCACACGCAAAAACCTGAAAGGCCATGTGCGAAAGGGGATCACAGAACTGTAGGTAGAGAGTGGCGGAAGATGGAAAGACCTGGAAGAGGCGGTGGCCCCATCACGGGAGAGCCTCTTACCCTATGGACTCTGCACTTTACCCTCCGAAGCAGGGTGGAGCCGGGAAGTGACTTGGCCAGGTCACTCCAGGGGACGGGGACGTGGGTGGGAGAGGCGATCGGAGGCCTGCAGGTGAGTGAGGTGAGAAGAACTGAGGTTTCCGGCTTGAGCGAAGTAGGGTCCGGGAGGGGATGCGTTCATGCTGGCTCGGCACAAATTCAGTGTGAGGTCCTGTGTCAGACACACCCGAAGATGTCCAGGAGTCAGCTGGCTGTGTGCACAGATAGTGCCTGACGTACGATTTTTGACTTTACGATGGTGTGAAAGCGACACAGAAACATACTCTGTTGAATTTTGATTTCTTGCCGGTCTGCTGATATAGGTATATGATCCTGTCTCATGATGCTGGGCAGTGGCCGGGAGCCATAGCTGCCAGCGGGTAAAGTTGGAATAGAAATCTGGATAACAGCAACTCGGAGGGGTGGATTGGGAAGAGAAGTTTGTAAGAATACCCTAAGATAGGTTAAATGTCTTGGGTGAATCTCCTCTGTGGGAGAAGCTGGGGTTTAGTAGAGACACATTTTCAGGTAGCCTCGGAGGCGGACGCAAACCCGAGCCTTAACCCAGCATTCTGTAATATAGTGCTCAGGCCCGTGTAGGTGGCCCGCGGGACCCCAAGCTGCAGCTGAGCAGAGGTGAGTAGTTGGTGTACGACATCTCGCCAGATGGTTGAAGATGAGCTCTCTGTGGGCTGATGATTCATAACACAGCA